TAATCTTGGCAATAATTTGCTAAAGTTAAATCTACGGTTGAAACTAATTCTATCTATCTCCAACGGCAAGCTATTTCTATTACTTCAGCTTGAAGATGGTATAATAAATAATCGTATTGGAAAATCTTTGGGGATAATTAACTAAAAGATGTTGCTCATGACGAAATTGTAAAATATTCTGGAAATAAAACAGAAAAAAGCCGGTTGTTCAAAGTAATAATAGGATTTATAAAAGAAACCAATAAGCCGCTGTGAGGTGACTACAATTGGAAAACTTGCTACCAGCACTTTAATAGCAAGTTATTTCTATTACCAAGATTAAACACTACTGAAGTACATTAAATATAGACAGGTTTGATTAATTTTTGGAGTTAACAATGTCAGTATAATGAGCGATAAACTAATTGATGGTGCCATAAAGGAAATAGTCCTAGCTTTAAGATAGGTTTAAATTGTGTAGGAAAGCATTCTTATCGACGTCAAATGGACCCTTAAGCAACATCACTAGAGAAATCATCAAAATCATTTTGCTATTACTGTGTAGAAATTGTTTCCATCTGAATTTCAATCGGAAACAAGTTAATTACTGAAGTAAAAGAATGGACGAATCTATTCATGAACATGTCTGTAACGCCAACATTAATTCAGTAGCTAGAAAAGGTCACGTACATTGTGTTAATTAGAGGTAAATTAGTAGAATTGGAGCATGATAAATTCAATCATGTATTTTCTTATTCTTAATCCATTTCCTATTGATTGGATTAGTTATTTCTTTAAATTTTTCTTACCTTTACCATTAACAGCAACAACAATTTCTGACAAGTAACTTATCCAGATTAACCTGTTTAAACGATAGCAGAAAAATTGATAATAAGAATGTTAAGTAATATGTCAAGCTAACTTGATTTTTTAATTACCAGTAAGCAAATAGGGTAAAAAGACGGTGAAATTAGTTACAAATACTAATTTCAGTAGCAACTGGTAGATACCGCAAAAAGACAAGTTGAATTGATAGATTATTGGAATTTATTGGCTATAGGCTAAAGTATAGGTATCAATTAATACCTTTTCTACAGTAACTCTAACTGATTTCAATAATGGTGATCGTTACTGTTTATCAAATTCATATCGGTTAAAAAATGTTTCAGGCTAATAAATACATAGAATTAATATTCCAACTGATATCTAACAATGCCGGCTATTCCCAGTGATATAACTGGAAATTACCTTAAAATATAGACAACAATTGAAGAAAATAGAATCGTTGATTGGTTGTTAACCAAGAACAAAGTTATTATGCTTGCAGAATATTAATTAAATTCTCATCAAGATTATATTTGCAATTAAAATAGCTAAAGTAAATTGACTTTATATAATAGCTCTAAAATAAATGACAAAATAAACGTCAGCTATGACTAATTGCTAGCTTTTAGTCAAGGCAGTTTATTATTTCCAAGTCAATATGAAAATTATATCAGGAAGAACAGTCTTTACTGGCAATTCGATAGGAGAACAAAATTTGAAATGTAAGGTTTAGCTATAGGTACGAATAGTAATATTGTAGGCTTAAACTCGACGTGTATTTCAACTCGAACTTTCTAGCCATAGGAAAAAGGAAAGGATAGAATTTAATGGATTTAAAATTAAGCAAATAATAAAGTATAAATGGAGTTTTGATGACTTACCACTCTTTCAATAAAGATTAAATTGATATTAACTTGACTTATCAATCTATGCTTGTAATGTCATGGCGCTTTTTCTTTTAATACAAGCTAATTAAATCAAGTTTACTTACTGATTGCTCCTGATTGGTAACTAATATGATAGAATTACTATATTGTTTTGGCTTTGATTTGACAGCTGTTGTCAAGGGTAAATCAACAATTTTATTTTGTCATTTTAATTCATTATCAATATTCTTTTTCTCATCCATCAAGTTTTATCAAGGACCATTATTACGTTACAATAATATTATTATTAGTAAAACGCCTTTCTTTCAACCTACCTACACTAAGCTACCATGGACATAATAAAAAAATAAATAACTACTTGTGTTTTAATTTAACTACTAACAAGATGATCGGAGTAACAACGATTTAAATATAAACCTTTTCTACGTCGTGACTGTAGTTTAGAAAAGAAATGTACCTTCTATTCATTTTGAACTGCTAAAGTTCTCCTTCATTCTTACTATAACAGCTTTAACTTTGATTAATATCAAATCATTGTTATAATCAAAAGATAAGACACAATACAGTAGTGGATAAGATAGAATTTATTTCTGTACAAAGTCCATTAATTAAAAATATTATTGTTGTCGCTTTGTTTTAACTCATAGAGATTATCTCTAAGTTATATCCAACATCTTCTTTAAATTAAATTGTTTTCCTGCTTTACGTAATACAGAGTGTGAGCTCACGTTAAAAGCGAATAGTAGAGAACAGGAAAGACCGGATGATAGCTATTGACCTAGCCGGAGACCAAGGGAAATTATTGACTTATAGAAATAGCTTGTTGGAAATCATTGAACAACATCCTCCATCTAAACTGAATTAACTAACATTTTTATTCTCTTACGCAACTGTAATGATGAAATATTAATAAATTTGAGTCAATAGATCAAACTGGTCTAGGGTGTCTACGTTTCTATTTTTTGTTATTTTTCTTCTTCACTTTTACTATAACAACTTGCCCAAGAACAGTAAGGTAACCTTTAGTCTTATGCGGCATTTTAGATGCAATTTCCTTCTTCTTTCGTCTATGCTAACAGGGATGTTTGCTAGTCAATCAAAATACTGGAATACGTTATAGCTTGGTTGTAGGGAATAAATTTTTTCTCTTCATTTCTACCTTGCCTGCTTTAACCAACTGCATAGAGAATAACCAATTATAATAGCCATCAACTTAGCCTAGCAACATAACGCATATAAAACATATATTAGATTTACAGCAACAGCGGCGCTTTTGTTATACGTCAAAATAATCCATTTTGTTGATATTTGCTATCTAGCAGTTTATTTAACTATTCCACTGCTTTGATAAGATATACTTAAAGAGGTGTACCCGCAATGATAGCTTCCATTAATAAATAGGTTATATTAAATTAGCTAATACATCTATGCAAATCTACGTACACAATCTTAGGTGGTGATGGCATTATATAGATTTACTCGTTATCATAGTCAGAATTTTTCAGCCCAAGGACTGATTAGATAGTGTATTAATTAGGCTTGAAATTGAAACTTAAACTAATAGGTGATCATTTCTTGAATCTCTTCATGACAGGATTAATTGTATATGATGTTTAATTGGATCTGAAATCGTATTTATTGTTCAGATTAAAGTGGATAATGACACTGATAAAGATTTCAAATCCAGACTTACTCTATTCATTCTAATTTTAAACTATCTAATACATAATTTATCGATAGAAAAACTAGAAACTACCCCTGTTATAGATTAATTATAGCGCTTAAGTTTATTGTCTATGTTAATTCAAAAGCTGTCAAAATATCTTAAGAGAAAAGTTATGTATTCATAGAAAAAAGAGATTCCGTTTTGAGTGGTACCGCATTGATCAGTAAATTGAAAATCGAAGACTATGGAGATTCTAAATTTGTGTGTAATCCCATGATATTAAATTAAAATTTTGTCAACTGTAAATAATATTAAAGTATGGTTGGTCGTATTCGTAGAACTAAAGCGATCCAATTGGCACAGCCAGCCGATAGAATGAGAATGGAAAAATTTAATCCTGATTTTCGTATGATAAATATATAGGAACACGCCTATACTTGTAGCCACAATTATCTTTCCGTTAGCCTAAACTGCTACGAACACAAACCAAGATATTTATGTGATTGAATAAAAACAAAATAATAATACTTCCTGTTTAATTGACAGCATCACCAAATGGGAAAATAGTGGCCTGATAATGCTCATTTAATTTTCATCAAGTTATTTTCTTTCTTATTCAACATTACTATTGCACGTAACCTTATTCGCAATTCTATCTAATAACAGTGATTTAATTATATGAAATGAAGTCCTTTACACGCTACGGAATGAACATTCCAATCAATACTGATTGTCTCTAAGTCTATTTCTTTATTCAAAAATTTATTTGCAGCTGTGTTCCATGATATTCACTACCTAACTGATAATTTAGATTGAAAAGACAACATTGGGCTGATAAATAACAATTTGTATTATGATTAATTAATTAATCATATTTTAGTGATCGTACGTAGATAGTCTTAAGAACAGGATATCCTTTATTTCCCTAATTAGCCTTGTCTTCGAACTTCGGATATCATCAACTTAACTTGCTCACACAGTTTATAGCTATGATAATAACTATTATTTATACAAGAATAGCTAATAATACTTCAATAGGGATTTCTTTGCAGATACAATTTCCATATGTCAACAACCTATCAACACCATAGTCAATTCAAACTGAAAATACAACCTTCTATTTGATGGTGATTTAGGTTAATTCGTTCGTTGAAATAATGAGACACCGGGTAAGGACTATATTACTTAAAAAATACCATGTGATAAACGATTGCCAGACAATTCAACGTTGACTTCAGTAATTGTTACTTATTTAAGAACGATATCAAAAGATGCCAGAAACAAAAAACCTTTTGCATGATTTTATGCATCCATAATGCAGGGCAACAAGGCTATTCAATATAATGCAATACTTTTCTGTACATTATAAATTACTGTATTATTTAAAAATGTCATTTACTTCACAAAGTTTTATCCTTTTTAAATCATTGCCTTACTATTATACATGTCTTTAAGGATTGACTTTATAGTGAAGGCGACAGATAAGTGTCCAGTACAGTACTTGCTATTCCACACAAATTTTGTGTGGTTGTGGAAAAATAAGTATAGCCTTCTACAATAATGAGTAATTAATTAATATATGATAGATAACTTGAATTTTTAAATATCTAAATTCATAACAATTTATTGATAAATGTATATTATCAGTTGGCAAAAAATCCACATTTGTCATTGTTGCTGCGCTCTTCTCGTTTCAATGTCTGCAGTAATTCCTGATTGAGAGGGACAGCTGCTTGTCTAGCAGTCTGGAAGTAAATCAATATTACGTTCTCATTATTTATGGCGTTTTATTAGTCAGTCATTGCTGTAGGTAACAATGGCTATGTGAAGATTGCAAACACTGCTATATCGAAATCATAATTATTACGAATATTAGATATACTTATTAGTTAAGCAATTACTGATGGGCTACCTCAATCATTTCAAAAATGGTTGACGGATCTAAACTACCAGTACCACTCTTTTGCAGAGAACAAATGTTATTGCGATCATTTACTGCTATGAGCAAACGGCCTGATGAACAGCATTCTTCTTCCTGAGTTGCATCCACAACATAACGATGCCCAATCTAGTACAATGTATTAGTTAACAAATTCGATTACGAACCTTACCAATTTCAATAGAACTTCTTTAAACGATAAGATAACTTAACTAGGTACTGTATTCAAATTCCATTACCACCTATAGCCAGTATAATTTTTTATAGTATCAAACCTTATTGCAACTGACAATAACTGGAACTTTATCTATTGATAACTTTTTTTCGTCGTTTGGGTCATCAGATATTTCTAACTCAAGCACTCCTTCCTCATCGTTAACTGAAACCCCAGGAATTCTGTAAATAATTTAGGAAAAACATTTATATCAAAATATCTACCATAAACAGTTTCCAATAGATCGAATAAATATAATTACTTACCGAGTGTTGTATAAAGCAGCTTTAACCGCGATAGAAATACAATCAAGTAAGTTACCGCAGCACTCCAGAACCTAGGAATTCAAAATTATTATATGAGATCATATATCGCAGCAAGCTCGTAAATACGAGAAGAATAGCAATATCTACATGCGAATATTAACTCATCTTAATTCACAGCCGATTAAAAATTAATTTATTATTTTTATTTTACCACAGCGTCAATGTAGAGAACCCAAACTTGTTCTCCAGCTATAATTGTCAATGACTTTAGGTCTAATACATTTTCAGAATCGTAAATTCTTTCCAGGGATTTTGTTAATTGTGTTGTGAAATCTCCAATATGTCCATCGATTTCCGTGGTATTGTATGATGAACTAGAATGATAAAGATTTGTTTATGAGTAGAATGAAACTTTTCTCCACAGAATCAATATATCATCTACTGCTATCACATCTATAACATGATGCACTGGTGAGTTTAAAAGTAGCTGCTTAAGGTATCGTAGCGATAAGTTTCGATACTGTTAATGCAGGATTTCTTGTTGTTATAATAGCAGTTTTTCTCACCAATCTACGTAGAATTCAAGGTGTCCTGTATTAGATCTTTCCTGTTTCGGTTGACCAATCTCAGCTTTAATTCCAACTAATACATCGGTACCGTACTTTAAAAGAATGAAAGAAGAAAAGGAAAGTGAATCAGATTTTAGAAGTTAGTTATAGCATGGTAAGTACAGCACTGTTAGTATAGTTCCTTTTACTGTAGTTTTGATGGGTAGATAAATAATTCATTAGAATAGAATCCCTTGTTCAAGGTAACACCTAGCTAGCCTCAACATAGGAACCGTGTAGAAGTCGACTGGATATGGCAAGTTGGCAACCGCAAGCAGACAGCAATCTTAACTCATTGTCACACTCTGATGCACAGTAATCTTTCTATTGTAAACACTACAGCATCTTTCCAATTTGCAAACCGTAGACTCAGTCCTTTTAAGTAGGTTACTATAGTGTTTAGTAATAATTCACTAATTGCAATCGTTTCATTACTTGGTCTGAAAGTTAATCCATATTGAACAGTATTTACTGTAACCAACATAGAATAAACTAGTTCTGGCCTTTTAGGCATTTAGTAACGTATTGCTAGTATTTCTTACTGAAAATGTGTAGCAGTTACTGAGACATGGAGTAGTCTTCAACTACGAAATGCTGTAATGGAATAAACATGCATCATGAATAGCTAATAAAGTTAGCCAAAATAGATAAAACTTCGTGCATCCATTGTCAGTACTAGGGCAAAGAGACATAGATAGCTTAGAATAGACAGGCAATGACTAATACACATATTTAATTTAATTTTTATCATCAGCCTTTGTGAATACTACATCGTCCGTAGTAGCTGAATTTACAGTCTTGACGTAACAAGGAGATCCATCGGTGCTTTACGTCGGATTATCTTTCAATCCAAGCTCCATCTTGTGGAATTGGATTGAATTTATTACTGCCTATTGTAGACAATGTTATACACCTTTACAAGGGATCTAGTATAGGGTAAATCAGGTTATTTTCAAGCACTACATTGCCTTCCATCGCAATGTCATGATGCAGAAGTAGGTCTCCGTTCAACCGATGGACGTCGATGCAGTACTACTACGCATATAAGCAGGTAATCAGGTAAAATAGCGGCATAAAAGAGAGTATCCACTTTATCTAGTCGTTACATAGGACAATTTACTTTGACTACAAGTAAACATCGTTACTCTATACAGTATAATTAATGGTCAACGTTTCAACGATACCATGAAAGAAAGCTATGTTGGCAAGAAAGATGACCACAAGTGCACAGCGAGCAGAAAATGAATGCATACTTCTGCTGCGATTCGCAGCACTTACTTGACGTAAACGAGCAGAACCATTGGTATTGGAGACAATTCCTGTCTCTATTTGAAATCGTCTAAAGTCAATACATCTTCTGCCATCAGCTCGGCAGTCTTGTGTTACTCCATCAACGATAAATTGCTTTCGACCCTCCGATAGGGTAGAGGAAGACATGATTGCAATGATTTCGTGCTGGTGGACAGAGAGTCTGCTGCTGGTGTTGCTATGCTTACCATAGTAGTCTACAGTATGCTGGCGTGTATCTAGGCAGAGTAGTGTAGTCACGAGCCAATACTCTGCAGCATACTCGTACTATGCGATATAGTATAATACAACTTAATTATACTCTATCACTTTCAGTGCTGACATACTTCCTAAGGCTTTAGTATGGATGCTTTGGACTGTTCAGAACGCTGTTTTCAGCCGCTAGGCACCAACCGGGGACTACTGTACTCTTGCATCAAATTGAACTGGTAAAACGGTCCATAACGAGTATTTACCTATACAACTCCTATAACAAATGATCAATTTGAGTAGCAACCCTGTAGAACGATCATGGCGGCCTTATTGAATTGAAAGCCGATGAGAAATCATCCATTTCAATGAGGATTTGTGATTTTAATGGCCAATTAAATCTATGGGAGATTTCGGCCAGCTGTAAGCCGAAGACAAATGATCAATTTCAATGAGGATTTGTGATTTTAATGGCCAATTTAAATCTATGGAAGATTTCGGCCAGTTGTAAGCCGAAGAGAAATGATCAATTTCAATGAGGATTTGTGATTTTAATGGCCAATTTAAATCTATGGAAGATTTCGGCCAGTTGTAAGCCGAAGAGAAATCATCCATTTCAATGAGGATTTGTGATTAAATGGCCAATTTAAATCTATGGAAGATTTCGGCCAGTTGTAAGCCGAAGAGAAATCATCCATTTCAATGAGGATTTGTGATTTTAATGGCCAATTAAATCTATGGGAGATTTCGGCCAGTTGTAAGCCGATGAGAAATCATCCATTTCAATGAGGATTTGTGATTAAATGGCCAATTTGATTCTATAGAAGATTTCGGCCAGTTGTAAGCCGAAGAGAAATGATCAATTTCAATGAGGATTTGTGATTTTAATGGCCAATTTTAATCTATGGAAGATTTCGGCCAGTTGTAAGCCGAAGAGAAATGATCCATTTCAATGAGGATTCGGGATTTTAGTGGCCAATTTAATTCTATGGAAGATTTCGGCCAGTTGTAAGCCGATGAGAAATCATCCATTTCAATGAGGATTCGGGATTTTAGTGGACAATTTAATTCTATGGAAGATTTCGGCCAGTCGTAAGCCGATGAGAAATGATCAATTTCAATGAGGATTTGCGATTTAATGGCCAATTTAATTCTATAGAAGATTTCGGCCAGTTGTACTGTTACAAATATCTGTCAATTCCGTGTTCTACGTATGATTAAGATGTTTCTACGCTTAAGCATTGTATCCTTGCTGTCAGCCACGTCATTGCCGTAGAGGCGAAGAGACTGCATACAATGGCAATTTTATAGTAATTGAATTTTACCTTGCAAGACAACATATTCAAAATGTCATCTAGAATTAATATGTTGGCAATCGATATCAGCTTGAGACGAAGTTACTAGTATTTCACATCAGCACGTTATTTAGATGCAGTATTTATAGTGCTGTAGAACCAGCCAAATGCAGTACATAGTTTTGTCACCAACGCAACAGACTGAAGGTGGGAAATCGATGTTTCTGTATTTCCAAAACCAACATTGGTGCAAACTGATCCTGCAAAACCTTCGACAGGTGTAGCTACGATGGTAGTTGCATGATTCAGTCATTTCATAAGAATGAATGATCATTAGTCTAAAGTCCTCATGAATTGTTACACTCACCAACAATTAAAGTAGGCAAGGGTATCTCTACGGATTTAGGTTAACAAAACTCACCCGTGAGGACGGATGCTAATCTAATTTTTTTGCAAAACTGAAGATGGATAGGGTGGCTGGTACTTCGGTAGCAATAGGAAGATTCATAAAATGTTCATTTCGAGGCCTCACGACCCATCTATACTGTCATGATTGAAGTCAAATATCTCCCTTTGAAAATTGATCGATAGACAACACTGATATTAATAGCAACATCGAATCAATTTCATCGCCTAACGGTTAAACTTTTTAACAGTATCTAAAATCGTGGAGGCTTTTTACAGGAGGATACTACCAGTAAAGCGGTATAACGAATGGGCAAAGAGATTGGCTGGTGTAGTCAATACATAGTAATTCTAATTGTTCATATTGAAATCAATTAAAGATACTTTACTGGCAACTGCGGTAGTTAATTTGAACGATAACTATATTTTTTACGCAGCAACGATTACCATTTAAGGTCTCGTTGATTCCAATGAATTTGGAAAATAGGTCGAAATTTGTTCAGTATACCAACCGTTCCTATAAGGTATAGATTCATTCCTTGAATGGCTTGTTACGAAACTAATTGGCTTATAACGAAACTAATGATTCATCCAGAGAAGGTGTTACTAGGTAACTAGGGTAATAAAAACTAGAAGTGTCAAATTGCTAAGGGCATTTATGGGTAAACAGCAGGGGTAGTTTAAATTATTTTTAGGCAGTATACATACTGTAATGTAGTACAATAATTTATCTCGTGCCGGCAACATATTAAGGAAGAATATTTTGCTGACGTAGCTATTTTTATTGTGGCTAAGATAAAACCACCATGACTTTTTCGTACAATCTTTCTCTTACATGTAAATAGAAATCATATTTGAGTATCATCGTGAAAGCATCCATTACAAGTGTAATTAATTTTATAATTTGCTCGAATAGCTAAGCTAGCTGATATGAAGACAAGTTAAACAGAAATCGACGGATATTCTACAGTCTTGGACTTCTACACGTTTTGAACTTGTGATGGCTTCTAATATATGTAGTGATGACATATGCTCAATTTGTCTGTGCCCATTTGACGATCCAGTTATGATTGATACCTGTTATCATTGGTAGGAAAATTATCATAGATACCGACATATTATTATATTGTACTGACATAAACTAATGAGGAATGGTTGAAGTAATCATAGACGGACATTGAATTTGATTTGCCATTTAGGAAGTAGCGGATGTATCATTAACATACATATTGTTACAATCTCGAGCATCCATTTTAATGGGCTCTTAGGTTATACTTTATCGAACGGATCTGCTGTAAATAACCGTAGTAGACGTTTTACTTCTGAGCTTAGTCATTGGAACAAAGTTTAAAGACAAAACACACTTTGACGAGTTCATTAGCAATAATTTTAGAACTAATCAAATAACTCCACTCTTTTCATAGTAATTGTAATTATAAGTACGGCAACTGATGCATTCGTTGGCAAGGCTCTCCTTATTTTCATGTAGTAAGTTATACAATCAATAGTTTGCGCAATATTACGTACGTGGGTACTATTTTACCCGTAGCATTATCATTCGTGTGGTACCGATTTGCACGCCCTCGATAAAAGGAACTTTAAAATGAGCCTTAAGCGAAGATCATTACAGTAGTAGAATTCGTAACAAAAACAAGATTATACTATGCTAACGCACTGGCGGATTTAACGTATAAACTAATTAATGAATTATCAACTAATTATGAGTTCATTTGATCTGATCCAGTTTTTGTAGTAGCTGTATTAAAACCGCGGTACAGAATCAATCTAATACGTGTCCATTATGCCGTGGACCTTGCGATATATCTCGATTGCGGCCTATCGAAATCACTAAGGTTGGATTCAATTTGTGACTCATTAATGGCAAATTAGCACAAACAAGATTTGCATACTATATGCTTTAAATATTAGACAGATTCGGTATATTCATTTTCACGGTGTTTCTAGTACAGCACTCATCGGCTTTAAATACAGTAGAACCATATAAAAATAGTTCTTGTTCGCCTAATATACGCTAGCATACGGTAATATCTTTCGTTGGTAACTTCATCTTATTCTCGCCCATCTCTCGTTTTATCTATTGTATATCGAAACCAATATTATAATTAAAAACTTAATTGAACCTTGAATTAATTCTTTTGGCGTGTTTGGGTTGAACTTGCTGCATTTGGTAGATTGGCGCGTAAGTATTCATTTTTTGGGCTATAAAATTGGATGATGACATAGCCTAAATGTAGCAAAAAATGAACTCTTTTACAGTATTAGAGCATATCTAAAGATGTAGATATATTTAAAGCTAGCAAATACACTGTATCTTCAAAGAACAAGACCCAATATAAAACATTGTCGAAGGAATAACCTAATTTATCATTTAATATTCGAATTGTGGCTAATTTGCAGAATTATAACATGTAGTGATATACGAGTATATGATCTTACAAGCTATATACGTACAGTCCATGCTAACTTTACCATGTAATGTACATACTTTGAAGATAAGCATACGTAAGTAGGTAAAGTTCGGTAAGAATGTTAGATATAATATTGCCAAGGCATGATATACAGGCTTAATTTAGATATACTTCAAAATTGAGACTAGTTAATTTAGAAGCGTCAGTGCATACGGTTATGATCCGAAGTCTCCTTTTGGGATCTGATACTCGATCTTCTAGTAATCTAATTATCATTAACTCTTTTGCTCATTTACACCAGCGCAAACCTAGATTTAAACATCCTCATCTACTATACTGATGATGGTCTATTCTTTTCTATTCATTGTATTAATACAAATGATTAATTCATAATAATTTCTTAGTGAAAATTTTTATAACTCGTCATGTTAGTTCAGTATTTTTAAATCATAAAATTACAGCCAAGAGAATAAATCACAATAAAAAATTCGATAGCCTACCTAAACAACATATAAGTCATATCCTTTTTCATCATTATGTTTTTGTGACTTTGATACCGCAATTTGACATGTTAGCACTATTTAAGGCTAGAAGTTGTATACCGTACTGTAAATTGATAATGTCAATAGATTTATATTTACTAAGGTAAAATTTTATTAATATTGTAAATTTTTCATATATTGCCAGCGGATCTCACTTTAGCTGCCCTATCTGTCAAAATGGCAGTTTTAGCAGGGAAGAACTGCTAGATCATGTAAATACAAGACATGCAAATAGTACGGGACTGCAACTGATCTGTCCAATCTGTATTGCAATGCCATGGGGTGATCCTAACCAAAAAAGTGAAGATATTCTACGCCATCTAAATCTTAGACATCGATTTGATTACAATATGTTTATCGTAAGTCACCCAAGTGAAGACCTTCGCAGTATTAATAGACAGATGTCAATTGCATAAGATTTCTCTATGCTTTACAGTTTCAATGTGTTCTATCTACTAGATTTGTAACAAAATTGCATAAAGTAATGCACTGATTGTAATCTTATTTAAATTTTAGATGACCGATGTAGACGAAGATGACTGTTTAAATCGGATTCTAGAGCTGTCACTGATTGACAAATAGCTACTTAATTACAATCTATCGATACGAATATCTATTTTCAATCCATTAAGTACCAAGTACATGTCTGAACTTTATCCACGTTATAAGTATTACGAAGCAAATCAAAAATAGTTATGAAATGTCGCTATATTCGTATTTTCGTGAGTTCAATCTATTATCTATACTATGATTAACCTGAGGTGCTAACGCAACAATTTGTATTGCAAATAAAATGAAGTTACAAATGCCACTTTACCTTTAAATTCTTGGTAGATTTGTAGAGTCTGCAAGAGTTATGTATAAACTAGCGTATGTATTAGCTCATTCCAAAATTATAGTATTACTTAATAAATATTTACCGCATCTTGATAAGGTATCGAGCGATATATGTATATATAAAAAATGATGCTTGAATTCACGGAGAACAAATTATAAAATGTATCAATGCCTAAAGTAAAAAAAATAACCTGACAAGTTTGATGTGTAATTTTTCCTAAGGTTATACTTTACTTTGAACGTGGATTTTGTTGTTGTTGTAGGGATACAGTAATCGACAACTACTGTAGTTCTTTATAGATTGATTGCTTAGTTAGCATTGGTACTTTTAGCTAGTTTCTACAGCACGAGAGTGCAACATGAAATTAAATGGACCATACAATTATCATAGTTTTCAAGGTTACGCTCACTACGTTCAATTCAGCACATTATAACTTATTTGCGTATGTTATTTTGTTTGATGCAGTTTCTAAGCATCAGCCGCAACATGTATACCATGAGCTCATTTTATTTGTGTCAATAATGATTGTTATCACCAAAGCCACTCACACGTATCTTATCTAGCTTACTAAGAGTGCGCTATTCATTTATATGGATAACCTATTTGGACACTAGACTACATCATGCCATGCAGTCCTATAATTTATGCGATAAGTCTAGCTTTAATAACAGGCAAGAATTTATATGATAGGATAGCAGTCTTCCCATTAATAACTGCACAACCAAGAATCACTAAAAATTTCGAAGCTAAAAAGAATAACACTTAATGATCTGAAGTATCAACCTTCTTCTGTACAACTTAGTATGATAGCCAGACAGCAGATAAATGTAATCGCACAGCGTTGTTCAGAATCAGGCTTCTACAAACTGCAATCTAGCATAAATTAATAAAATACGACGTAATGAAAACAAGATGATTTTCTGTCTTTATCATAGCAGCAATGACCACCTATTGCTATCCTGAGACAGGCTAAAATAAACAAATTTTTCTACATGATAATTGTAAACAGAGGACAATTAGTTATTTTTGTACTTTTAATACGGTCCTTACGAGGATAAGGCAATAATATACAACACGTATACATAAATTTGTTGAATATACAGCAAGAATGTGCCTTTAAATCATTTGACAGAAAGTTGTCACTGTTGAAGTATCAGCTGTAGCAAATGAACCTGCTGACGAGAGTAAATATATTAACTTAATTTACGGTTCACCTTACAGCATTATATAATGAACAATGTCATAAAATAATGAATTAATTGCATGTCGCCGGCACTGAAAAGATCAAGCATCATACAGCTATAACGGTATAATAAAAATATTTTGGTACAAAATAAACACAAATCAGTTAGTTAATGCTTTCTAGTATGGCAACGACGGCTAATGTTCCTAATTATCACCTTTTTACTAAACTCATATGTAGATTTCACGATAAATACATTTGATGAGATGTCATATATAATTAATAAATGTTTCGGTATATGGCTTTAGTAGTATAAATATTTAGTAACTTTACAAAGTAACTCTATCATACAAGATAAACAAGAAACAGCCATGGCCAAAAATATCCCCAACTCGTCATGATTCAATCGTACAGAAACGGCATTTTTAATCATTCATATCATATCAATTTGCGTTAAATCGTTCAGCTGGTATGCAAATCAAAGAATCATCATTGCAGCTAATAATAATCATTGGTTGCGTCACCGATAAACATCAATTACTTCTACAACATCTATCAATTACCTCAGCTCATTAGTTATATCGCAAAGAAGTAAAATTTAATTTACAACTACCTTTTCTTTTCCGTATTTCTAACGCCAGAGCTTGCAGAATTAAAATTACTCTTTTGTTTAGCTTTTACCTTTCTTGGATAGGGTTCATAATTTTCGTGATTTGGCTTTACCTCACGTTCATTGTAATTACTGCTAAAATTACCACCTTGCTTTGAAGCCGATTTGTTATTAGTTTTCCTTTTGATTGCCGCAGATCCTTTTACTACTTCTTCTGATTGCTATTTTATAAAAGAAAGAAACGTTAGCACGAAAGCTATTACTATTAAAATCAGTCAGCTTATAAGCAGCTATTACATTACCAGAAAGCACTTACTAAAGATTTCTCGTTGGTACGAGAAACGCTTGTTGATGGATTTGTATTTTCGTTAATTGTATTGATTTTATCATTGAAATCCTTCTTTCCTGTAGAATAATTTCGACGTTTCTTGGATGTACTATCTTCGGACTTATTCTTACGAGTAGTATCCACATTATCACCAACTGAAGTATCGCTACAAGGCGTATTTTTTGCATCTGACTTTCTATTGGTTGCTTCAGCATTATTGCAATCCGCAATTGCAACTTTTGGATCAAAGGCATTGCTGATTCCATTACGGTAATCGTGAATTTCTTTACTAATAAATATAATACACAGCAATAGACTGCGAAAAAGAACGATCGCAATCTGTTAAGATTATATCTAATTTCATAGAAAATTGGAATAGTCATTGCATATTTTATGTTATGTATTATACAAGGTAGTTTTATCTAGTCATTTCTAGAATTGAATACGTGATTCGAAATTTTTTTTACCTCGGATAAGGAGTATTATCTAGTACTGCCTTGCTCATTACAGAATAAGCGTAATCGAAAGATTGCTTTACAAAAGCTGCTCGGAAAGAACCTTTACCTATATCATTTGCTAAAAATACGTAGCTGACTATAAATTTTAATGGCTCAATTTATGTTTAGTAAAAAGGTTTACTAACATAAAATTAAGAATTAGATAAACTTACAGAATAATGCAGGATCCTCTATGCATAGAAACGACGGTTGATATTTGATCCTTATTTCTGTAGGTAACGTTCTTGCGTACTGAGATAAATATCAATTGCGATTAAAGACAATTATGAATAAGAAATAGATGAATCATTTCACCTCACCTCTTCCTTGGTCAAGTATTGCCCTCCATTTCGAACTCGTATACAGGTTGTGTGATAATTAAAGTGACGCCCATACAATTCAAAAAATTCTATTAACAAAACACCATAATTTGCTTCCGGATGATCTGTATATCGTCGTGGGTGCAACTATAATGATACAACGTAAGCAACAATGATATAAATGATAGAGAAACTAACGAAGCGCATTCCTGATTACATCATTAAGGTCAAATGCAATGTGCGAATATTAGTAGCTTCAACATACTTGTAAGAAGTTGACTACCATCATAACAAGTGTGTATGAGCTGACACCACCAGAGAAGACTTCATTAAGTTCCCTTTGAAATAGGAACTGCTTCAAAACTAAGACTAGGTACTTTAATGGTTCGTATTTTCTTATATATGTCTACGTTTTATTGATAAATATTCAGAAACAAGCTTTAATCAAAACTGATAAACCTAAATATATTCATTAATAATATTTTATATCATTATGACCTCTATTACCTGAATAATATCGGCGCTTTTTACACTGTTTTCAATATTAAATTCGATATCCATTTTGTAATTACAGGTTTTCTCGGTCAATTTAATGATGGGGACCTAAGATACCAAATATTTTTCATTTATAAGCTCGTAAGGTTATATTATTAAGGTATTGCTACTACAATGTTCTGTAAATAATGGTGATATTTTAATTTTATTCACTATTATCTAAGGGTGATCACAGTATGGTATCTATACTATTAATATTAAAATCCTGACATAACATTACGATAGGATTACTAAGGTTAGACAAAGTAACAACCATAAATTTGCGCTGTGATTAAAAATTTAATAATACAGATTGTGACGTCTGGAACCGTCCCTAAAGAAGATAACGAATTCATGTAACGGTGGCATTATAAATAACAGGACTCTACACCTGATTAGTGTCATGGAATATAATGACAACATTTATAACATTAATTTTAACAGGTATTTAGCCCTAACCATTGCATTATGAATGCATTTAATGTTGTCTCGGTCACAAACTTCGTGTTGCATTAAGGCTTTCTCTAGATCTTCAAAAGCTCCTTTGCCATCGATTCCAAATATTACCAGGTCTATGTCACTACATCAATGAATTTCATAAAAGTAAACGTTAGTCTCACCATAAATCGCATCATTGAATCTTAAACATTGTTATAAACATCAATTTTAAGCCAAAATATTTCATTTTCGTAACATGTTAATTTCACAGCTATTATAGCTTGAAGATCTTTTCAATTCTGCTATTTTTCAAGTTTAAGCCTACTTTAATTAATGCAGTTAAATTTAAAAATTGAAGTCGAAAGTCATAGGTCCTTAATGCTGAAGTTGAGTCGCTAAGTTTGTATTGATACGGCATATAGAAAATGATCTCGCAACAATAAATCAAGCATTGCCACAAAGGACCCTTTAGGGCTAACAGTATTTGTTGAGCCATTTTCGTAAAAATCATCTTTGACTATTAGTTTATTGTAAGGTGTAATGACCTATACGCACATAGTATCTTAAATAGGATACGAAAGCAATGAGGCTACGCAGTGGAAGGTAAACTAGGACAATACTATCAGACGATTATTCTCATTTTACGGTATTTACAATCACCTTTGCTAAATATAATTTGTGGAATTTTTCTATTTAGTTATAAAATGGTCAGTGTAAGAAAGATAGAGTTACTGCATAGCAATTTATGAACATTACTTCATAGATAGGCTTAGTTGTATCTTACATCTAAGCGGATAAATCCATTTCGATATCGTTTTTTGTTATCTTACAAGTGCTAAGGTCTGCAGTTTAGTTTTAATATTGAGTGTAGCATACTCGTCTAATAGATGGAGAGCAAATGATGATTATAATATGTCAATTTTATCAACCAGCATTACCTTGTAGGAAGGTATAGACCAGTCCGAAAGCTGCCAAATACTTCAACCTTGACAATAAGTAAACAATAAAAATTACTAATAAGGATTCCATTAAGTTTACATCCAGCATGGTGAAGTAATTACAGTGACAGAAGTATTATGAGCGGTGTGATATTTTGAATATATCGAATGGTCTCGCTGTCATTCACGGATGCGAAGATGATAAAGCTGAAACTAAACTGGTTTGGTTATAAGGCTTCATTATGATCCTATGCGTATGTATGGTAAGATAAACAGCTCAACAGGACAATAGTTCATTTTTATTTTTAGATAAATTTAAGCATGGCATCGATTATACCTGTACATGTGGCCACAAAGTTAGTATGACTTCTTTCACTCCTTCAACAACAGTTTCTCTCATATTCTTCTCTTCTGGTCTTGGAGAAATATACTGATAGAAATCAATTATTTCTTCATGCAATCTAGCAAGAGATGAATCGCGTAACATGATGAGAAAAATGAAAGTATTTCCTCTAAAACAGGTGAAATATTATTTATTGATAAGACGATTGTAGGGGAAACTATTGTAACGGAAATTTCACAGTATCGTACATATGCTACAACTAGTTGATGGCGTAATTGCTTAGTATATTGACATCAAAAGCCTTCTACCCTTGGCATCATCCTTGTACACTGTACTTCTGCATGTCTATATAAGTATTTCAACATATGATTGTGTTGGCGTAGGCTATAGCATAAGATATTGACGCAATTCAAGTAGGCAAAATGAACGATGTTATGGATTGCCTGACAATTAAGTGGAATGAATATTAAAGTAAGTTCGCGAGGTATATTGTCCATCGTATTCAGCATGAGCTTGATATGAATTACGTATGGATTGCCCGAATCACACAGGTGTAAATCATGTTTCTTCGTTTCAATGGCATCGATTAAACAAGATGTCGTATGATATCGCACATAAGATGTTACCGAATTAAGGCTACATGGATTCGATGTTGGTACTTACCCACAAACACCAGTATAAGAGTAGTTATCTTGTTTTTTCCAGGGTATAAAATCTTGCAATTGTTCATAATGTTTGGCAGTAATAATCTCACGACGTGGTCGTTTATTTGTCGTGGATTGCGCTAGATTATTATTGCTGCCTTTCCGTGTCAGATTGAAAGTATTTGCGTTATTACTACTACTAGTAGGAGTATTTGGCTCGGAATGACTTGTAGTAATAGGAATAAAATCTTGATTATCTTTCAACGATAACGCAGCCATGGTGGATAGCTTGGTCCAACTGTCAAGTGCAGGTCCTTCTTGATCTAACTGATACCAACCCAAACGTGGGTCCATTTACACCTCCAAATGAAGACTTGATTGGATTCTATCAAGGTCCTTGCCCCTTCTCCCTCTGCTTGCTCCAATGATCGGTTGCTTGCGATCAACCTAGTGGACGATACTGTCACTACTCTTGATCACTTTCTGGTCTCCTTTCCTCAGTAAAGCCTTACTTCAATCTGTTATAATTACTTTCAAGAATGATTTGCCCCACAAAATGGAGTCGAATGATCGGAATTCAAACGTAGAGAAGTGGTTAGAAAGCAATCAATACACCAAGCATGGAAGAATTACTAGACTGCGGCTTGAAATAAAGCAACGATATCGCGATCATTTGCACCATGGAGTGGAATAATTAAAAATGAACCCGACAGTATAGCACTAGACTAAATGACTGCTCAACTACTGGTTAGTGGTCATACTGTACTGCTACCGTACGATAGAGTAATAGTCCACAGTGTATAGTATACTGAAGACACAGGTTATTTACCCCCTTGCAAACATGTTATTCTTACAAACTCGACCGTGTCGATGGCAATAGCTTTGCCTTCAACACTCTCGAAGTTGGCCTACTGTGATATACTAGCTCTAATGAGTAGATGAATGCATTTCCTGATCGCTATTTTACTCCCTAGTTGGCTAAGGTTATTTACCTTTTGACCAACAAACATGTTACCAACTCGATTATGTCTAGTATTTTTTTCCATCAGGAAGATCGTAGCGTACTTTTAGCATCAGCTATGGTGGCATACTGTCCACCAGCCTCTGTACACTACTGTATACTCCTTAAAATGATAGGAGTCGATTATTTCTCTCGACTCGTCGCTTTTAGTATATCGGCGGCCATAACCCTACAAGAATCTGCAATCAATCGGCAATAAAAAAAGGATATGGTCAACAAGACTCTTATGACCCAGGGAGCAGTGGAATGTCCATAGTGGCCCATTATTTTCTCCACGCGGCTTAGTACTCGAGTCACAACCATCTCGGGATCACTGGTATGGGGGGGGGGAGGGGGGCATACATGCCGATTGGCCGTGCCCGCTATGACGTCACAACCACCATCAACAGCACGCTACTGTAGTGCTCAATCATGAGACCAGGATAGGTCATACCATGGAGATCTTCCAGACTGATCAATCCTGGCCTAGGATGGTAGGACAGGGGCTTGAGGTATCCAATGCCCGCTGTATTTGAAATATCAATACAACAGTATGGAGAGAAATATTGGGTACCACCACCATGGTGGGTAAGAGTGGGTACGGTAATGCCATGGAGACCTTGAAGGTTGATCATCCATATTTGCTGGTTGAGCTGAAGAATATTAAAATGTGAAAATGGATTCGTTTTGTAAGTCAAGTATAGAGCGATTGGATAGGACTGAATAGGAATAAACTAGTTAGCATTAATCTCACCATTTGCAAGTCATCCAATGGATTGGATGACCTAAAGATTCCAATCGCAGTGATTGAAATCTTTCATCATGTTTGCAATAGTACAGAGATGATAGATGCTTGAGGAACGTATGCAGTTGTGTTAGGCTTACCAACGAGCCAAGAAAAGCGTCAAAACGTAACAGAAAGGATCAAGTTGTAGCATACGATGTTCAAAAAAAACACCGATAAATTAATTTTAGGCTACATTGCTAGTTTATTTTCGGAAGACTAGGTATACATGAGTCCATCTGCTTACAGTATCTAGCAAAGATCGATCTGACTTTTACAGCCAACTGACCGCCCAATCAGTTGAAATCGATTCTCATCTTGTCTACAACTTAATAATGGTACACTTGTTATATGCTGTTGCCTGTAGGTTAGGTGACTACACATAGTAAATATTGGCGTTATTGAAAATGCTACCAATATCAAACTTACCTTGACCAAGGCAAACTTCCTAGAAAACGCTAGCAATGTATAGAGATAGAACCAATAACAACCAATCTTCTGTAAATGGGTTGGATACCAAATGGACACTTTCAGTAATAGATTAATGAGTTGGTGGGCTATATTTCATGTAGCAGAGATCAAGACGAATAACTTTCAGTCTCACATTTGAAGGGGACAGTCCAAAGCATTAGTTTAACTTTAGCTTTAATTTTCTTCTTGTTTATGTCTTCATTGTAGAATACGGCTTGTAATCTAAATTGGCATTCTTGAAATTCTTGTCAATAGCAAAATTACCTGTAATGTATTGATACACGACTACTTGATTGCTTCCTAAGGACAAAATTATTGTAATTAGCTGAAATCATGAAGTATCGTAAGCCAGATAAACTGCTTTCATAAACACTGCAGTGTTAAGAGATGCAAATTATAATCAATCTCGTGTAGTTAAATGGTAGAGTTCAGTAATGTAATGGATCAATCAGACAGTCAACTATTGCTTACTTCAAATAACAGCAGTTGACATGAAAAAGCCTTAGTTAAAGTTTCAATTTCGTCTTGTCTTTGCTCCCATAACACAACACTTGCTAAACACTATCAATAACTCTACTAGATATAAATTGCTAATCTTAAAACCTTATACTGCAAATAAACTAGCAATGTTAGGAAATAGCAAACAACATCTAAATCCCATGTAGTTGGATTGTAAAGAATCAGTAATGTAATTGATCAATCATATAGAAAACCAGAAATGCCTTAAATGATAATTTTTTTTCATCTCGTCATAAATTAGCATTTCAATCGTATCTGAACGGTTTACCATTTATCAATTGACCTAAAATCCTGTGTAAGACAAAATAATGGCTAACTCTGTCAAGATCAAAGGTATGACGTCAACACCTAAGCAAAAGAAGAAAAAGACATCACCTACTATTTCTCCTGCTAGTCGCAATATTCGCGTGCCTACAGGTCATCTCATCATCAGCGATAAATATAACGATAGTCGTAGTATTATACAATTGCTAAAGGGTGAGCCGAATGATTGCTTTAGATATCATCTTTCATTTTCTGAATAGTAAAATCTTTTTCATCCTGTGTATTATATTGACGATGCATACGCGTATTTACGTATCCAAAATTTTATCACTATCAGAGCAAATAAAAGTGGTTATAGAGAGCAACCTTGGACTAATTGACTTCTACCCATCGCCAGGCTGCGGGGTCATTCACTTCAAAGAAAATGATATAATTGATACTACAGGATGGAAAGAGAAATTAAGAAAACTCATGCAGGTATTCCATAGCTCATTCCATTATCTATGAGAAATAACCCACGTCGTACATGTACTGTAACGAGCAAAGATATGCTACACATAATATTACTATAAAATTTTGAATTTGAGAAGGTTATAATAGGTTGTAAATACAATTAGAACTTTATACAAGTATACGTATTTATGAATGGCATTGTCGTGATATTCTAAAATAATTGTACTAACTTGGTATTCTTAGTCACCTTTGAAAGTTATAATACTTGCGGAGAAAACCCTAACGAATAATCAATATTATGACCAACTGCAGACCTCTGCAGTAATTGAGTTTGGTATGGTGTTGTTACCCATACATTCAACGAACGATATCGCAAGTTACCTATCAAGTCTAGTAAGAATACACGTAGATACAGTATTAGGGTATCATACTTCAGCTTTAACTGCCACCTTATTATTTAATAGGTAAATCAAGCAACGAGGCCAGTTTATCATAATAAATTTCTTGTAAAAAGAAAGCCGGAACCTATTAACCAAGCTGTAGTATCTACGTTAAAGCTCCTACCTAGCGTCGGTGAAACTAAGGCAAGGTTGCTTCTAAATCGCTTTCACAGTAAGTTTAATGTGTGGATATGCTACTTAACGGGGATAGGTTCAGAATGTTACCTACTTAGCCGTCATAATAAAATTTCTGATATAATGATGCAAGCATTCAATCTCATTTAATTAAAATAAATACAGGTATTGCTGGGATTTCTCATGCTTCTGTTGAGGTAGGCAGTTGTGTATAATGTTGAAAAAACTATAAAATGAGAGCTAGTCACGTTTATTATCCACTTATGTAAACTATATCAATAGTCTTAGCTATGGAATTTAGTATATGGCCAAACTGTTCGTACTCTTTTCATTTCCACGCTAAAAATAATACTAAAGGCTTTTACTCGTATTTAAAAGTTATTAACTAACGATACAGAAATTATTTATAATTTAATTAATGATCCATACTGGAGACTCAGTCGCTGTCAACCCTAACTTCTTAAAATTTTCCGAAACTGCTACTTAGGAACTAGCGGAAGTTATTGGCAGTTCCAGTGCTGTAGCTGTAAAAAAAGCATTTTAACAAAACATAATATTAATCGCCTATATTGGTGCCACAAGTGTGCTGTAATGGAAAGCTGTCATGCTCATTTGATTTTTACAAGGAATTATATTGTCTGGTGGGTTATCGTGTAAGGTTTGTCTGAAGATATCGTTTCCATTAACTGCCGTATCGAAATTAACAACGAAAGGTTTATAGCTTTACGAGCAGGCTACGTAAATTTAATATACCGCTTTTATAACTTTTACCATAATGTATAGTGTATTATGCAGTCGTAATATACTATACTGCTATTCCTTGTCTACCAAATATCCAATGTGGAATCAATAACTTTAGTCAACCCGAAATTTTAGCTTACGTATCACTTACTGCGAATCAGTTTAAATATTCATTTATGTTATGTATGATATAAGACCTCTGATGATCTTCTAAATAGATAGATTACTCTCATAAATTTTTGACATGGTATAGTAGAATAAATATCTAGTAAAATCATTCTCGATCAGTAACTGATATTAAATATTCTGTAGCAAATTTTTGAGCGTCGGGTGAAAATTTGTTCATTGTATTTAAGCTATTTCAATTCCATAAAATTTCGTTATATTAAAACGTCGTTCTCTTAAAAATGTCATAAGTTATCAATTGAATTACATTAATTTACTACGAATTAAACATCATCATTATTTATCGATTTTATCAGGTTGTTTTGATCGGTTGTACATGTACTTCTTACCAGCTGTATAACTGCATCAAATTGCTGTTAGGAGGCGTTTACTTCTCAGATTGAATTTTTTACCTTCCAATACTCAATTAGCTATTCATAGCTCATTAATAATTATAATGATTATTCCCATAAATTACCGTAAGAATTTAAACGAAATTGTGTGAATGATTATAAAAGTTATACTTGCATATAAATTATTAGCTATCCAACTTCCTTATTTACTATTTATGGTACGGTCTATTAAGCCACATAATTTTTGTTGCATCAGAAGATGTATCGTATAATTGCATCTTAATTGTATATGGAATGGATAAGGGATGTTTCCGCTTAGACGGCTTTTGGACATTAACCTACAAAGGTTTGAACCCCATAATACTATCCTTCACGCTGTTACACAGCTACTTCCCAATTTGAAGTGACTCATTTCTGTACAGGATTGTGCGTTGTTCATAGTATTACCTTGTAGGTATGACTTCCGTTGGTGTTTGACATCGAATTTGTTCTTTTATAAGCCATTTCTTAACATCTGTTTAATAAAAGTGTCTAATTGATTCATACATGTAACATATGATAAGTGATTATTTGTTATCAATTCCAGTAAAATATGCCTGATATACAATAATTTAAATTATAATGATATAAATTAATTATTTTATTAATAACTTAAGTGTACGCAACATACCGTATTTTATAAATGCTCATTATTTACGAAATGACTAAGTATAATTCCGAAATCAAGGGTTTGTGTAAGAACTTAGACACATGTATCCAATTTCAACATCATCCAGTATACCCTTAATATTATTGCTTTTATATGAATAGCTTAATTGCTCTAGAATGCAGAGAGATCAGATACTTTGTTGTGCAATAGAAATTGGGTAATTGAATATTGAACATGATCATATCCAAGTACTGCTTATGTTATCGCTATACAATAAAGTAGGTGATTTAGAATAAAGTATTAGAAGGGTAGAAAATATAAATATTAATTAATACATTACATTCTATTTCAAGCCGCTTTAATCAACTCTAAACGACCTACAAACGGAAACGAAATAAATAATAAATTTTTTCTTTAATTCGCAGAAATTTTTATTAACATTGAAATCAAACAGATCTTTAATATTTAAAGGTTTTGAATGCAACCTTAAATATAACAATTGATAAATAACTATCTGAGGTAGCAGCAATCACAATTTCAAGAAATACACTAGTAAGAGCCGTTTATTATAATAGTGTATGCAAAAACGAATCAATCTTGATGTTAATTGATTGTAATTTCGATATGGCAAGTATTCTAATGATATGTTCGATATCCATTATACAGCGTACAGTAGAATAGTATTTGTAGGCTTTACTAGGCATTTAAAGAGATTTACTGATAAACAGCTAATCATATTTATTCTACGCTGGCTAATTCCAATCAATGAATGAAACTAGATAATTTTAAATGAGAAAAGGCCTCATTCATATTAATAGGAATGATGATGATGCAAAAAACTGAAAGATCGTATTGCACTTCCTTAATTATAGAAGTTAAGATTGATATGCAAATGAAGCAAAGTATAGTTCATATTTTGAGCTGATAGAAAGACTACAGCAAACATACAATTCTAGAAAAGTAAAAATTGCATATAAGAATTTATAAAATAATGAAATCAACTTCTTGGCTAATTATTATGGTCGCCGTAATGATTACATAATTAATTTTATTGTATGGATTCATATGTCTTAAAATTTAAGAAACACTCCATGAACTTCATGAACTCTAACGCCCGTAAAACAGGCAAAATGATAATCATCGCATCATTAAAATAATGCTCGGCAAGTTAATTGATTAAATTTTATATTAGCTTTTGCAACGAATATCTATTAATTAAATTGATGATGTAGTTTTAATAAATTGCTATTCGACTTTATATTTGCGATTGTCGTATTAAGTACTTTAGTTAAGTGATTAAGAAATAATTTAATATACAGTACGAGTATAAATATAATGTAAGACACTCTATCATATTAAATCCTATAAATCCTTTCATAACATCATATACAGTATATCCATAAATCCTTTTTTATTATGAAATAGTAAGTATTACAGATGTTATTTTGCACTATTGCATTAAAAAATAACTGTAATTCTATATGGCTAGTGTGTTGCTCTGTAATTATTCATAGCATCAGAGATAATTTATTATTTAAACGCATCCAACTTTATCGTTTAAAATATTGCTGAAACATCTCACAGGAGATAGACTTTGTTCTTAACAATGAATAAAATGTACCAGTTCCTGGTAACTTATATACCGTAAGATGTTGTCAATTTTTCTACAATATTCATTATCATCTACTACATTGTTTACATTTTGTGTAGTACTATAGTACATTATTGCTGCTGTTGTTAGTTATTCCACCTTAGACTATTTTGTATTATATAAATGAAAAATATGCGAGCAGCCAGTTGAGTTTAACGCGGTATTCATAACATCTATAGCTTTCAAAAATTACAATCGTAAATCTATTCGATAAATTACGAATTTAATCATTTTAGGCTGGCTATAGACTACCATAGGCTAAATTAGTTTAGTTCATAATGCACAAGTCTATTTCGTCTTACATAAAGTCACTTTTTCAGCAACTTTTCTATTGCGGAGGAAATTTTATGCGGTCATTATTTATTAAATCTATGATTATACCTGGATATTATGGCATAAACTATAGTATTCTCTCGTATTTTTCTTGTTAATATACTCATCTGTTCCTGTTTGCTAATTTTTTCTATCTTTATGGAACTGCTACCAATATGTGAACGCCCGTAGATTTCTCGTTACAATGGTACATGGTCGATATTTTTGGGTCTTCTTCTATTTCGAACTACTTATCAAGAGTAATTCTCCGTGACAGTTATGAACTTTTTCCTTAATTTCACGGCAGGAGTGCTTTGGAGCATCTCCTTATGCATAAACGATAAATAACGAACTCTCTTTATTATGAAAAGTAACTCGCTTCTATCTACCTTCTATCTATATTTGCGAACAGTTACAATTTGTATATATATACATACGAAGAAATTAATATTAATAAACGATACGGCTGTCGTATATTCTTAAATCAAGATTTATATCGTTTTATACTCTATTTTAAAATACGTTTCAGTGCACATATAACACGACGCAGTCATGATCAGAACACGATCTAACCTTTGAGCTCTCTTTTAAATTAGGCATCTAACTAATTCACTTGACCTTACTAGAAAATGAATTAGTTTTATAATCTACAACTTAACGACAGCCTACCAACTGTGTAACGATCAATACAATATATTTACACTTAACGTTGGCCCTTTTCGCGATGATAGGAACAAAAGGGTTTCATTTACATAAATGAAGTTAATAAAGCTATCTTACAAATGATTAATTTCCTAGCTCACAAATAGATAAAATGATTATGTTTTCTACCTTTGTAATTGATATTCTTGCATTAGACTTACTATTATTAGTTCTAGCACCCATTGTTGTTTAATGTCTTGTAGTCCATTACAGCTTTATTTATGAACGAATAGATTTTTCATATATGTACAGCAGATTTTTACATAAACATATTATTATTTACATTTTCAAACACATATACATTTTATACCATACTAGGACAGTAACATGATTTTATTTTTAGTATTGGATCAAAGTAATCTGTTACTAGACAAGGACACCTAGCTGCAATCTTAATATTTGATATAATCTGATGCTATGCATAGTAAAAACTACCAAAATATTAATACTGCTGAAGCCGGCTATTTGTAGTCATTATTTTGTAACTAATTTTATAATTTTAGTAATATACGTAAAAAGGAAATAACGATCATAAAAGTTAATTCTATCAAAATACTGCATTTTCTGCTTATCTGTACATTAAAGTCTAAATTAAGTTATAATTTTACCCATGGATAGATTTGTAATCATTAATTTTATTCATTTTATACCAAAATTATCTATATAAATTAGTCTTAAGACATATGAGGTGGTCATCCTTTATCATCTTTATATTACAGCAAAGGGCTATTTACAATTTTAGATCTATCATTCTATGCTTTTAGCGCAGATCAAAAATTATGCCTTATTGTTCTATTCATCGATATTAATAGGTATAAAAGCATTAGAGGTGTAACTAACTAAATCGATCCACCATTATTATGATAACCGAGGCTTGCAGCTAGAATTGATAATAATGGCGATTGTAAAAATTAATTAATGGATACTATATCTTAAATTGATGATGATGACGTTAATGGATAGAGTAAATA